AAATTGTTTAAATCGGTTAATAAATGACGGAGTTCTGAGGCAACAAACATAAAAAAACGGTCTAATTGAGAACCTCCTCCTTTTTGAAGTCGGTTGAAAACGTTATTATAAAAGTTACCACTGCGTATTGTTTGTTACATTTCTTTCGCCAAAAAAAAATAATACATACAACCGAGTACTGTTGCTTTTTGAATTCCATCGAAGTAAAAAGTACTAGTAGCTACACAATCCCATGCAAAAGTTCTCTTAAAATTGTCACCAATTGTGTTTAGGTAATTATTCTAATTGAAATAAATATACAAAAATGTAAATTGAACCTTAAATGCAATGCTTAAAGTTGTTTTTATGAAAAAATAAATAAAAGCGCGCTCAAATGTTCAAATGAGCACTCATTCGTTGAGGACATTTTTGTCGCTGATAGTGTGTTTAGTACTTTTTTAATCGAAGTTGAATTCCTATGCGAAAAATTATGCCGTCATACATAAAAGAAGAAGAAGAAAAAAAATCGAATAACAAACAAATAAACAATTTGAATCAATGAATATTAGATAAATTATTATATCAATATTGCACTACTTAAGTACACTATCAACCACTTGTACAAGTCGCCAAGCCGGCTCGTTTAGACGATTCGAGAACTCGCAAACGTGGAAAATGACCACCTCCTAGATAAGTATAACATCGATGTTATTAACACGAACGACGTGAGATGAACGGTTGAAAACAATTATGTTTTATCCAACTACCTCAGAAGGAGGGTAATGTTTATGCCATTAGCCTATTTTAAATATAATATTATTTTAGTATGTAAATTCATAGAATAAGAACGAAAAATTAAAGATTATTTATACAAGTATTACTACTATTTATCTGATCTATTAATCAAAAATCTAGTCCAATTTTGATGTTCAAGAAATAAACCGCCCACATCGAATAACGTTTTATTTAAATAAAAACAAAGTTGTTTCTTGTGCCAGTTTCGACAATAGATATTGAATATTTCATAAACATTCTCTAAGATGTATCAACTATCCAAATATATTGACTTACGCCCGAACCCAATAACCTATCTCAATCCATTTTTGACCATCTGACATAGAGATCTTAATACATTTGTTACAAAAAGTGTGCCAATAACCAATCGACGGATTGTAAAAGCCATCTGTCGATACAAGATATCCATGGGAGGTCGGATCGTTGTCTGTGGATAGACCTCTCTATGAAAATGACAGTTCAAGTGTGCCAATATCGTATCTTTAAATTTTGACCGATAGTTTGACGGGTGAAACAATCTGTATTTGCAATCTCAATGATTTCAGTAAATCAATAAACTGATTTACTGAAATCTCTATCAAACTATATACATATCAAATAATATTAAATGAGCAATTCTTGTATATACATTGTACAATGTACATACACATAAATTTATTTTGTGTATCTCGGAAACCGCTTTTAGGAATAGGATTAAATTTTGTATTTAAATAAGGTTTCGCTTTAATTTATCTATAGGTAAAGACGTACTTTTTGAAAAAAAACGCTATTTTTTATATACATATATACGAGTATCTCTCTCGAAAAACGCCGAACGAAGCTTGGCCGTCCAGGAACTCACACCAATCTCATAAGTGCTTATGTTTGTGTTTGTTTGAATGTGTTTTATTTTCACTCTATAATGGCTCAATAGATTTAAGTGAAATTCAGAATGATGTCTATTTTATTGACCTACATAACACGAGCCTAGAGTTACTATAAGTATTATAATAAAAAAAATATAAAATTATTTCATTTCCCATTGCACAATTCCAGTAGGTACGAGGGGGAAATATATTCTGTTTCATCCTCAAACGTTTGAGCTAAAATTTTAAATACAAGTTTTTAATATCGAATGAAAGTGTTTTGATGCTCTTATTTCAAGCAGAAATTCTGCTAAGGATCGATATGGTATTTTCATACTATAGTTTATCGATGAGATTTATCCTGATACAAATGATTTCCATGGGACAGTTGTTTGTAAATGTAGGAAGGCAAGATACCATTCAGCAAATTGCGTAATTAGGCTTGGTCACAAAGAGTATTAGGTCTTATTGTTTACTAGCGGCTCATCTTCGCTGCTCTCGGGTTCGCCTCTAGAAAAACAAAAACAAATCTATCCCTCGGGAACCGTATATTTTTCCGAGATAAAAAGTAGCCTATGTGTTAATCCAGACTATAATCTATCTGTGTACCAAATGTTATCTAGATCCGTTCAGCCGTTCTTGCGTGAAATAGTAACAAACATATATCCATACATACATTCTTAAAAACTTTCGCGTTTATAATATTAGTAGGATTGGGGAAAAAGCGAAGTAGGAATTATTTTTTGGGACTAAAATAAAAATCTAATAAGCCATAATACTTATAATAAAACCTATGAAACATATTTTATGGATATAACATAGACCCCTAAGCTACTTCTACACGTAGTAGCGTAGTCTTACATTTCTTTTGGCTAATAATATTTAAATTATAAATAAGTTATAGTAAAAGAAATTTACGATAACAGTGGAAAAGCTTTAAAAATGTAGACCGAAACTGCGCGAACGTGTTCTCAAGTTCTAGGTTAACATTGTGTCTATCCCGACGGGTCGACGACCGGAGCCGGTCTTGGACTGCATCTACAGATTACCATGGATGATAGGCGCCAAGTAAACGAAACACTGGAGACGGTATAAAAACTTTATAGCGGATGTCATTTTTATTATGTAAATGTATTGTTTCGTGTCAAAGGCCTAATTAAAATGGCTATGTAAAGAAAATTCTGAAAATATTTAATTTCCTATATAAAATATTCATCACATTATTATATAAATGCAAAATTTTATATGTATGTTATATCTGCTTTTTCACGCTGAAACAGCTGGACGGTTTTCACATAATGTTGGTAGGAGCTAAAAGGTGGCGCTGCATGCTTAAAAGCCGCATACCTGCACCCGCACCCGGACGCACCCGAGCGAAGCGAGCGTAAGTCGCTAGTATGTTATATACTTTATTTTAAACTATATAATTATATATTAATAACGCTAGTATGTCAGCGCTGCTTGCGATTTCGGTCTTAGCAGCATTAGCTGAGTTATTTATTACCCTTTGCCATAATTACTGATTCTGTTAACTTTTTTTACTCTTTTTTATGGCAATAAATACTTTTTTTATTTTTTTTTATTTTATATACTTTATTATATTTGACGACACGTTTGGCTCAGTTTGTAGTGACCCTACTTGCTGTGCGAGTAGTCGCGGGTTCGAGTCCTGCCGGGGGCATTCATTTGTGCGATGAGCACGAAAGTTTGTACACCAGTCATGGATGTTTATATTTATAATATGTATGCATTTAAAGTTATATATGTGTAGTGTATCAACTATCTGGTATCCATAACACAAGCCTCGTAGCTTACCATGGAACTAGATGGTGCTGTGTGTTAATGTCCCAACATATTTACCCTCGCTTTTGTCTTTTAATCCAATTACAAAGCGGAACTGAACACAATTTCTATATAGAAAATATAGTCATAGCTCATTTGGTTTTTTATTAATCTAAAGCACGCTTAAAAGCTTTATGGCTTTACAAATTGGGTCTCCAATTCAATTGTTCTTAGATTTCCTTGTATTCATAAAACGTATCTCAATTGTGTGGCTTTGGTATTAAACTACCTTAGAGCTTCTGACCCTATCTGTTTAAGATTGATAAGATCGTAAGATAATTTATTATACTAGCGAGCGGTAGTTTAACGTTTCAGCTTTTAGTATAGATTTCTCAGAGATGATTTTCCAGCAGTAAAAAGTATCCTATACGTTGGATTGGATTGGACCCGGATAACAAGTTATCGTCATACCAAATTTTATCAAAATCTGTCCAGCAGTTTTCTAGTGATACGGTCACAGACAGAAAGAGACACAAACAGACCGACCAAAATTCTAAAAACTATAGATTCGTCGTCTGTATCGATAATGTCTATTTCAATAAGATTTTTCAAAAAATATTTAATGTACAGATTCGGCTTAGTTACAATTTTATTATATGTACAGATAAATAAGGTAAAGGACGCGAATGACGTAGCTGAAGTCAATAAATAACACATTTTAATAAGCAAAACTTAAGTATCATATTTCATAATGAGCATACAAATTTACCTTCATAATTACATAAGATACTTATTAGCTAATTAATAAAGGTCAATCTATACATTATAAATAATAATAAATAAATATGTTGGGACATTAACACACACCACTATCTAGTTCCATGGTAAACTACGAGGCCTGTGTTATGGATACCTGATAGTTGATACACTACATATTATATATAATTTTAAATACATACATATTATAAATATAAACACCCATGACTGGAGTACAAACATTCGTGCTCATCACACAAATGAATGCCCCCAGCGGGACTCGAACCCGAGACCGCTGGCACAGCAAGCAGAGTTACTACAAACTGAGCCAAACGTGTCGTCAAATACAAATACATTAGTTTGTAATATTTATGACATATAACATACCTATATAAAACTTTATTTCTGCGAAGACAAAAACCTACATAAAATATATTTTATAGAGTCAAGGAAGCGTGACTCAATTCTATCCACTTAAATAAAACTATAACTTTTAAATAGGGCCAATAGGTGCTCTATGGTGTGACTTTGTTTTAAAAGTAAATAGCCACTTTATAGAGCAAAAAGTCAAGCAAATTTTATAGGTCGTTATTTAAAACTTTGTATATTAAAATATACCTAGCACATAAACTTGAAACGAGATTCATATTAAATAGCTTCAGACGAAATCGAAATAATGAGGCGAGATAAGTCCAAAGGCAAAGGGTTGTCAACTGTATATATATATATGTATGTATAAAAACAAAATATTGGGTTGGAAGTTTGTATGAAAATGGGTTATTTTTAACCTACGCGGGTAGAGCCGCGGCAAAATGCTAGTAAAATATCGAAGGAAGTACATACCCTAGTGCAAAAAGAGCAGCCGCATCCTGAGATGAGTGTGATCTTGTCTGGTGTTGCGTCTTCTAAACAAAGTTTGCAATTGATAGGCGCGGCCGGTACAAAGCCTCCCCCCGCACCGTCTAGGGAGTACCTGGAACAAATAAACCAGTTACCATTTACACATTTAAAATTTACCTATATACTAAACTATAAGCTCACTTCACTTGGATGAGTTCCTAGATGCTTTTTGAATTCATAATGTTAAATATATGCAGCGCCACCGTTTGGCAAATTTTGTTACTAACAGTAGCCTATATGCGACTCTAGGACATAGTCTATCTGTTTACAAATTTCACCAAAATCCTTGCAGCCGTTTCAAGTTTCAACGTGACAAAGTAACAAACACACATATACATACACACAAAATATTTCACTTTTAATAGTTAGTGTGTTTGACCTAATTTCAATTTAAACTTATCTACATATACCTATATTAAAACAAGTAGAGAAAACGCACTTCCGCTTACGTAGTTTATTTATGTATAATTATTCCCTTCTAAGAACTGTAACGTGGTGTTAGATAACCTATAACCTGCATCAATCCATTCTAATATTATAGAGTATCGAAAAGACTCCAAAACTACAGAACCGATTTAGATGAAATTTGGTAAGAAGATAGTTTGAGACCCTGCGAAGGACATAGGATACTTTTTAACCCGGAAATCGTTCCTTAATGGGTTGAAGATGGGGAAGAGTTTGTATGGGGAAGCAACCTAGGGACGAACACGAGCGAAGCGAGGGTGAGTAGCTAGTTTATTATAAAGTAGAAGAATTTATTTGTTTATTTGAAAGCTTCGGGTCCGATTTAAATTTTTTTATACATTTTATAGTTTACTAACCTCGATCACAAAACTACTAATTACACAATCCCATGCAAAAGTTTTCTTAAAACTGTTATCAATTGTGATTAGGTAATTAATAAAATTATTCCAGTTGAAATAAATATACAACAATGTAAATTGAACCTTAAGTGCAATGCTCAAAGTTGTTTTCACAAATAATAAACAAATAAAAAAGCGCGCTCAAACGTTTAAATAAGCGCTCATTCGGCGAGGACATTTTTTGTCGCTGATTGCGTATTTTGATCGATGTTTACTAACGACTTACCCGAGTCAAGCGAGAGTACGTCCCTAAGTTTAAATGGTTTATGAACGCATAAAAGACAAACATATAAAAAAAAATTTTTTTTGGCCAGAAACTTCCGCAAGCGTATACAGAATAACCCAACAGAGTTTCATGACAATCGAATCAAAGGTTTAGGAACGCACAGAGGACAAACATACTTACGAACTATCATTTTTATTTATATAGAAGATATATAGATAGAAGACTTACCAAGAAAGGTCACAGGCTATAATAACTTTGATAAAAGAAGTTTGCTAACGGTCAACATTATAAGTAATGTTTAACGGTTATATTTGAACCACTGAGTGAGTACTAATTTCAATTTCCTCGAAATTATGCAAGTCAATAAATGGCTTATCGTTTACTTGAAAACTCATACCATATGTACATTTCACATACATCCTCTGCAATTTTCTTTAATATTTAATCTAAGATATCATGCAAGAAATCAATACGTGAAGCAGTCGATATTAGTTTTTATGTTAAAAAACTGGATTCAATTCCCGAGTTTATGCTGTCAGAATTTTTAATACCCGCCCTTAGTTGCAGTCCATATTATTAGTTATAATGCTAAAACTGCCGCAAATGTGAGGTTCTGGGTTCAATTCCCGAGTTGATGCTGTCAGTTTTGAATACCAGCCCGGTGTTAAAAAGTGAGTAATGTGACACCCACATTTTCTAATAGTACAAGGCCTTTGAAGCTGCGTCTGATCACAGGATAGGTCATGTAGTGATGCTTTCCCAACGAACTTTCTGGGTGAAGGAACTAACAGCAGATATGTGTACAAGTAAACTTATGCACTAATATCTTTCGCGCATATCTAGTCTAAGTGGGATTGGCAGCCTTGACAGCAAACCGGTTGTGAAGTTATTAATATTAAATCGAAAATAGTTGCTCGCAGTCATTAAGTACAAAAAAACGGCCAAATTCGAAATAAAATGGAAATATTTACAACGCGGCAAAGGCAAAATTGTAAGAATGCATGCTTGGTTTATTACACTATTAAGTCTTAATTGATTACAGAGATTTTTATGACGCATATTTCTCCCAATCATGACCAATAATAATAGTATATTCTTTATTACGACAATCATCACAATATGATATGTTATAAATGCGAAGTAGCTATCACACAGTGATCGAGTTTGAGTGTGCATATTTTTTTATTCTGTTAAGATTAATTGGTTCAGATAGATTGGAGTAACCCATAAGCTCATGTTAGTAATAAATTTCGCCAAAAGATGGCGCTACCTATAGGTATATAACATACAAAAGACATCAAACGTGACTATTTGTATCAACATACCTACCACACAAGAGAAACCGAAGCGAAGCAAAAAACTTAAATTTAAATCTATACATATAATAAAATTGTAACTAAGTGGAATCTATACATTAAATATTTTTTGGAAAATCTTATTGAAATAGACATTAATATCGATACAGAGTCCGAATCTATAGTTTTTAGATTTTTTTCTGTCTGTCTATTACCGCACTACGAGAAAAGCACTGGACAGATTATGATAAAATTTGGTATAATGATAGCTGGATATCCGGGTCAACATATAGGATACTTTTTACCGCGGGAAAATATGTCATTTCTGAGAAAAAAATACAAAAGCTGCATTGTAAGAGTATACTAATATGTAAAACCTAAGAATTTGGTTTTTGTTCATCTGAACGCGGGCGGAGCCGCGGGCAATGCTAGTTGTTTATAAAAATCCGTATTTAAGGTAATCTCTTCTATAATATGACGTGAAGGCTAACGTCGATTAATATATAACTAAATCGATATTACATTAAATATTAAAAGGAAAACTGCAGAGGCAGTATGCGAAATGTACACATGTTATATTATGTTATAACTACGGTTCGAGCAAGTTCCCACACCATACCATACTGTAAAGCATTCGAAACGTCGGAAACCATAAATCAAAATAAATTCGCAAAAAAATAACCAAAAAGATAGTTTTATTTAATTTCTCAAACTCAAATATTCGCGTAAATCTAAAAAAGTATTATGTTCCCATTTTTAATGAAAAAACCAAGATTTATATTAAGTTAAGTGTACATTTGACGACACGTTTGGCTCAGTTTGTAATGACCCTACTTTCTGTGCCAGCGGTTGCGGGTTCGAGTCCCGCTGGGGGGCATTCATTTGTGTGATAACGAAGGTTTGTTCTCCAGTCATGGGTGTTTATATTTATAATATGTATGTATTTAAAGTTATATATGTGTAGTGTATCAACTATCTGGTATCCATAACACAAGCCTCGTAGCTTACCGTGGAACTAGATGGTGTTGTGTGTTAACGTCCCAACGTATTTATTTATTATTATTTAGATAAAGTTATCTATAAATATAATAAAATTGTAACTAAGTCGAATCTATACATTAAATATTTTTTGGAAAATCTAGTTGAAATAGACATTATTATCGATACAGAGTCCGAATCTAGATTTTAGTATTTTTGTCTGTCTGTCTGTGTGTCTGTTACCGCATCACGAGAAAACTACTGGACAGATTTTGATGAAATTTGGTATGATGCCTGGCTCTCACCCAGGAGGCTCGGGTTCGATTCCCGGTATCGGAACCACGAATTGCCTACCTTGGTCTGTTGTCATTCTCACTGGACAACCAAATCGACAGATCCAGCCTTCGTAGATAGCTTTGGCGACTGTCTCTGCTGTGATGTCAACTGTAGGTATCGCTTCCGGCCATCGCGTATACCGGTCGATGATTGTTACACAATACCTATACCCTTGCGCGCTCGTGGGGAGCGGGCCTATTATGTCAACATGTATATGTTCAAATCTACCACTAAAAGGTAAAGTTTGCAAATCAGAAACGGTGTGCCTATTTACTTTTGCTTTCTGACATTGAATACAACATCTTGCCCAATTATTAACATCTTTATTCATTCCGGGCCAAAAAAATTTTTGTGCTATCATTTTCCTAGTGACTCTAATACCTGGATGGCTAATATTGTGTATGGAATCAAATACTAATTTTCTAAATGTCTCTGGGACAAAAGGTCTTATGTACTTAGTTGATAACTCGCAATAAATCGGTTTATTCGTACCTGGAATAGTTAATTTTTTTAACGATAAAAGGAAAACTGCAGAGGCAGTATGCGAAATGTACACTTGTTATATTATGTTATAACTACGGTTCGAGCAAGTTCCCACACCATACCATACTGTAAAGCATTCGAAACGTCGGAAACCATAAATCAAAATAAATTCGCAAAAAAATAACCAAAAAGATAGTTTTATTTAATTTCTCAAACTCAAATATTCGCGTAAATCTAAAAAAGTATTATGTTCCCATTTTTAATGAAAAAACCAAGATTTATATAATACATAGATTTGGAAAACCCGTTAAGTGAACATTTGACGACACGTTTAGCTCAGTTTGTAATGACCCTACTTTCTGTGCCAGCGGTTGCGTGTTCGAGTCCCGCTGGGGGGCATTCATTTGTGTGATAACGAAGGTTTGTTCTCCAGTCATGGGTGTTTATATTTATAATATGTATGTATTTAAAGTTATATATGTGTAGTGTATCAACTATCTGGTATCCATAACACAAGCCTCGTAGCTTACCGTGGAACTAGATGGTGTTGTGTGTTAACGTCCCAACGTATTTATTTATTATTATTTAGATAAAGTTATCTATAAATATAATAAAATTGTAACTAAGTCGAATCTATACATTAAATATTTTTTGGAAAATCTAGTTGAAATAGACATTATTATCGATACAGAGTCCGAATCTAGATTTTAGTATTTTTGTCTGTCTGTCTGTGTGTCTGTTACCGCATCACGAGAAAACTACTGGACAGATTTTGATGAAATTTGGTATGATGATAGCTGGTTATCCGGGTCAACATATAGGATACTTTTCACCGCGGGAAAATATCTCATTTCTGAGAAAAAATACAAAAACTTAGTTGTAAGAGTATAAC